CGGAGTGTGGACAGGAGTCACAGCAGGTCGGCAGCCCCCTCACCCGGGGGCTGACCAGGCTGCCACACCCCACTGGGGGCCGCTGTGACGTTCTAGAGGCCTGGAAGGGCCTTAGCCTGTGAACAGAGAGGGGGAATGAAGCCAACAGAGCATCCCTGGGCCCGGGGTGCCCACCTTGACCAGGAACATAGCGGGGTGAGGACAGGGACCTCTCCGTCCTGTTCCAGTGACGGGAGATAAACTTGTCCACAACACCCCGCGCGCAGGAGCACCTACACAGGATGGTGGCAGTGTGTGATCACAGGACCACCGCAGCTGGGGTGGTCAGCAGGGGTCCGAGCAGGGGACCTTGTGAAGGCCTGGGGCCCAGGAGCTGCTAGGACACTGTCCCCGACCGAAATGAGCTAATGTGCGAGGACAGAATATGGCTCGTGTCTGGGGGACAGCGAGTGCCCACTGAGGGCTGTGCAGAACAGCCGGGGTCTGACTTCTGGTCGAGGCTCAGCCCCTGAAACCCAAGCACAAATATGCACCGGCCTCTAATTCGTCCCCAAAGCTGTGCTTCCGGAGAGGGTGTGATTGCCAGGTAACAGCACACAGCAGAGTCTCCAGCTCTCTGTGTACCTTGTGTGAAACCGTCATTCTGAAATTAACACTGTGGGCTTCCCACGCTGCATGCACCTTTGTAAATAGTCCTTTTATGAAACTCCACTCAGATTTCCAATTTTAATGTGCTGCTTCCTGCTGGGAAACAGCAGAACCGGCCCCAGGAAGCAAGCTCAAGTGGGATTCCAGTCCTGGGTGGCTCACCTGTATGGGGAATCCCTGAGCCCCTTTCCTGGCAGGAAATGGGAAACCAGGGCATCCCCGGCTGTGGTGCCATCAGACGTAGCCCTGGTGGGATGTGGGACAAAGTACGTGTGGAAGGAGGGACACAGGAAAGCAACTGCTGGGTTGCCAGGTGACAGGACTGATTCTCCAGGTCATGGGGCCGCCTGGCTCCCTCTGATGAGTCCAGAGAGCACAGACAGGCAGGGGGAAACGCGCAGTGGGGAACGGGAGCCCATGGCTGCTTGACCTCTGCTGTGACAGCTCCGGGGCTGAAGCCCAAACACCCCGCTGAGCTCCGTCAGACTCCTCGTGCGTCAGTGCCCGGGGCTGCTGTGCCCGAGAGCCAGGATGTGTGCGCGAAAACAGCAGACCCTATTCTGGAGGCCAGAAGTCTGCAGTCACGGTGTCAGCGGGGGCAGTTCCTTCTGGAGGTCCTGAGACCTCTCCCCCAGCTCCCGGCGGCCCCTGGCGGCTCCTGGGAGCCCTTGGCATTGCTGGCTCCAAGCTCTGCCTCTGTCATCACGTTGCCTTTTCCTCTCTGTGTGTGGTTTCCCCTGTTCTTCCCTTGTAAGGACATTTGTCAGAGGATTTAGGGCTCACCTTAATGAGGATGACATCTTCCTAAGAGCCTTAACTTACTTCCATCTGCAAAGACCCTCTTTCCAAATGAGGTCACGTTCACAGATTCTGGGTGGACGTATCTTTCGGGGGGCCACCACTAAGCCCACTACAATCCACCCTTTGGTCCCCCAAAATCTAACCCCAGCTCATGCACAGAATACATTCACCCCATCCCAGCATCCCACAAAAGCCTCACAATTGGAGCATCAACTCTAAGCCCAAAATCTCATCTAAATATTATCAGCTCAAACGTTCCAAGTCTTCTCATCTAAATCAGGTATGGGTGAGACTCAGCATGACCCACCCTGAGGCAAAACTCCTCTCCATCTGTGGACCTGTGGAACTAGAACACAAGTTACCAGCCTCCAGAGCACAATGGTGGGACAAACGTAGCACAGTCATTTCCATTCCAAAAGGGAGCCGCTGGAAGGAACACAGGAGTTACCAGTTCCCAGTAAGTTCAAATCCAGCCAGGAAAACTCCGTGCAGTTTCCAGGCTGAGAAGGATTCTCTGTGGTTTGATGCTCTGCCTTCTGGGCCCACAGGGGTCCCTCCAGCCTCTGCTCTACCCTCAGGGTCAGACTTCCTTCTTCCTTGAAGGGGAGCGCGGAGTTCCAGCTGAGTTGCTCCATCAGCTCACTTCCTGCTTCCAGAATTGTGGACGTCTAACAGCCCTCCTTCACTTAGACCTGGATCTGTTCCTCTCCGTCCAAGCGAGCACTGTTTCTGCTGATACAACATCCTCAAAAGCCTTGTGAGTCCCCGCGTATGTCACAGGGGTCACTGAACAAGAGGGCCTCTGCAGGTCTTTCCTGGGTAACCCGGGCTCCGTTCCTGGCTTCTGCTCAGACAGCTGAGAGCACTGGTGAGTCACACATCTAGTCTCTTCAGCAAAAGGTGGTCCAGCCACACCCTTGACCCGCTACTTGGAACGTGCTCTTCCCACAGCAAATCTCCTAATTTTAATATCCTTTGCAATCTGGATAGGCCAAGAATCTCCCAAATCTTTAAATGCTACTTCATCTCCACTTCACAGATCCTTCTTAATTTATCTCTTTCCTCTGACATTTTACTGTAAGCAGCAAGAAGAAACCAGCCCACACCTTTAACACTTAGCTTGTAAGTCTCCTCAGCCAGATATCCAAGCTCATCGCTGACAAATTTTGCACTCCACTAGACATTGGAGCACAATTTAGTCAAGTTTTCTGCCACTTTATAGCACGATTCACTTTTCCTCCAGTGTCCAACAGCTCCTTCCTCATTTCACCTGAGATCTGACCAGAAGCACCTCTAACGCTCACATTTCTAGGAACACTGTGTTCACGATGGCATGTATGTTCTCTAAGACGACAGCTTTTTCTGCCCTGCTTTTTATTTCCCTCTGAGCGTTCACCAGAAAAACCTTTATGGTCCAACTTTGTACCAATCGTCTCTTCAAGGCATTTCAATTGATTAGGTGAGACCAACCCAGATTGCAGAGGGTAATCTCCTTCATGTAAACTCAACTGATTGCAGATATTAACACATCTACAAAACACATGCAAAGCAACACCTAGATTAGTATTTGATTAAATAACTCCTGGCTAAGTTGACACATAAAACTAACCATTACCCCTGTGTTAGAGTCAAACATGTGTGGGGCAGAAGGGGCACCTTGAGAGTCAGATGGAGACCTCTGGGCAGACACGATGAGGTAGAGAACCTTAATGCCGAGTCTCCCTGAGCCTCCTTTGCTGGCAGAAGCAGCCCTTCTCCCCTTGGAGGAATAAGCTTTCCTGTGCACAGAGAAGCCTCTGAGTGACTGTACCTGGAGCAGGTGCCTCCCAAGCTGATGCCAGTTCTTTTCAAGACCCACCCTTAACACCCCCGTGCCTGCAGGCTCATCAGATATTGAGATGACAACAGAGCCAGGATGCACAAGTGCAGAGACTGCTCTGGTAGGAGACGGCCTTTATGCAAAAGGAGCTACAAAACCTCACTTGTCTGTATCCAAGAGCAAGCAAGGAAGTGGAGTTGAGACTTGTTGCTCCAGGGAAGAGGAAATAAGGCTTGACAGGACCAAATCTACCAACCCGGGTGCATGCACCAGGATTTCATAGGTTGATCCGAGCGCCTGGAGGTGGCATTAATCACCACCCAGGTTGGTAAGGGAGGGCTGACTCAGTGGTAGGTGGCACTTAAGAGATTGAAACGCCAGAATTTCCCTGGCATACTGCAGCTTTGCTTCTCGACACGCAGCACACAGGCCGCTGCAGCGGCCCCTTGGAACGGTTAGAGATGCAGAATCTTGGGCCTACCCCAGACCTGCTGAGTCAGATAAGTATTTTTAACATAGAATTCTGTACCAAGGGAGAATATTCTTCAAAAATAAAGGCATGGGGAGGGTATAGCTCAGTAGGCCTGGCACGCACGAGGCCCTGGGTTCAATCCCAGGACCTCCATTAAAACAAACAAGTGAGTAAGTAACCCTAATTACCTCTCCCCCAAAAAACAGACAAACAAAGATAAAGGTAAAGAAGCACATTTTTAGGTAAACAAAATACTGAGAGAATTTGTCACCAGCAGACCAGCACCATAAGAAATGGAAAAAGAAGTTCTTTGAGATAAATAAAAATCACACTATTTGGAAACTTGCATCTACATAGAGGAACGAAGAGTACCCAAAAATGTCAAGTAGGTAACTAGAAAATGCTTTTACTTTCCATAAATTTTAAATCTTTAACAGATAATTGACCGCTCAAAGTAAAAGTCATCACACCGTAGACCAAGTCTATAACACGTACAGAAGTGAATATACGACAGTAGCGCAAACAAAGGCCAAGAAGTTACAAAGCTCCTTCTGCTGTGTTGGAAACGGTGTCATGTCAGGCCGAGGACGGCTGCTAAGTCAAGCATGCATATTATAATCCAGAGCAATCACTTTAAAAAGTGATGAGCTAAAAACCCAATGGAAAAGGTAAACAGAGTAAGAGAAACACTCATTTTATCCAAAAGAATAACAGGAGACCTTAAAAATAAAAACAGATGGGACAAATAAACAGCAGGGCGAGAGTGGCAGACTTAACACAGCCACGTCAACAGCTAGTCAGCGCCCCTGGACTAATAACTTCAATGAAAAGGTAGAAACGCCCAGACTGTTCTTGTCCTTATTTGGAGATGACGTGCGGACTAAGATGCATCCAGGTGAGAAGCTGACAAGAGGTGGACTTGCGGTGGTTAACTTCACGTCCGCTTGACTGGGCTAAGGGATGCCCAGCTCGCCAGTCAAGCCTGGTTTCTGGGTGTGCCCGTGAGGTGTTCCTGGCGGAGATTAGTGCACAAGTCAGTAGACTCAGGAAAGGAGGCGGCCCTCCCCGACAGGGTGGGTCCCAGCCAACCCGCGCAGGGCCTGAAGAGAACGAATCAGCAGAGGA